GATCCACTTATTACCTTGTGGAGCTTTAACACAGCTACCATGAGTTGTTTCCCATGCCATTCCTTTGAAGCATGATAACTCTGAACATCATTTCTCTTACAGTGCAGTGCCACATGGCTATCACCTACAGACATATTCAATATTTTAAAGGGTGGACTATGTATAAGGTATGTGTGTTATGGCATTCTGTTAAACTTGTATTTCTTTTTCTATGTCCTGTATTATTCTTAAGCTCCCTATGTCCTCTAGTGTCTACCTATGAGAATTGCACAAACTAGCAAAATAGTTTCCATTTTCTTATCTCAAAACATTTTAAAAAACTCCAAGTTTCCATCCTACAGATTTTCTCTCCTATTCTTTCTTATTCCTTTTTTTCCTAAATATTATATTAATATTGATATTTTTACAGTTTTTCTTGTTACACACCAGCTGCATGTATGGCAGTATTGCAAATTTTATATGTAATCTTCTTGCACACACACACATATCTATTATCTAATCTATAGATGTGTGCTTGCTGGAGATCTTAGTATGTACATTTTATTGTGAATGTTAATAACAGATCTTGGTAGATGTTTTATAGTATTTTCTTACATAATGAAGCACATTCTCCTCTCACTTGGGCATGCCAAATTGTCACTGAGGACAATAGGAGCTGCTTCTATTCATCTTCAAATAGTATTTGGCTACAGATCACAGTACATTTTTACAGAATTTGGACTTAAGCCTACTGTGGAAAGCCAGTATGTGAGTACTTTATAATACAGATATATTAGGAACAAATTCATATTCCACATGTGACTATTTGGGGCCTTCTGAACTCTTGACTATATACTATTAAAGTGGGATCCAATTACTCTAGTGTTAACCATTTGAAGTTGTAGAAATGATAAACTAGTGCAACTAGGCTCCCACTCAAACCAGAAAAATAAAGGTACTTCTAGAGGATGTCATTCTATAATACCTACCTAGGAAAAATGGGATTAATTACGCTACAGGAATACCTTACTCTCCACATGTGCTAGAATACTCGTCCAGCTTTTACATGGCTGCATTTACCCAAATAATTCCATCCTTAATATTCTTTTAAAACAGGGGGAATGCATAAGTAATTATTTTAAATGTAACAAACCAGTGAAACATGAAAAGGTTTTTATTAGATTTGTATGAAATTTACTGCACTAGACTAATAAAGAACCATCCCACATGGACTAAGTAGAAGTATTTGTGTATCTGCAGAAGCTACTTCACACTGACTGAAATATTCTGTATTTGTGAAAATGTAACTCTTAGAGGGAAGGTGGCACTCCCCTGCAAACTTGATATCTCAGGAGGAATGCATAGAGCTTTGCCTTTGCAGGGCTGATGAGCCAGTTGAGAGTTTATGGGTGTGGTGGTATAAGCCCTACCGGGACTGGAGACCACGTTGCCATTGTCCCTCCCCCACCCTCGGACACAAATAGGGCACAAACCCCGGGATTGAAATAAGGACAAATTTCATACAACAGTGTAAGAAATAACAATCTGAACAACAACAATAGCAATAATAACAACAATAAACAGTAATAACAGTAAACAAGACAAAAGATATGCAGAGAAATACTGCAGTGAAAACAGCCAGCCTGCCGCGCGTGCTTCCCACGACAAAAGCCACAAAGGAAAGCTTCCCATGCTGTCGCACCCGGACCTGACGTCAGCATGGTATGAATAACCCGGCTGGAGATCCCTTCCCCCTGCTGGGGAAACTCAACCGTATCCTAGCTGAACCAGGACATAATCCACCCCTTTATTCTATACCAACTGGGTCATGTCCAGTTGCCATTTAGCAGTTAACAATAACAAAACAACAATTAACAAAGGCGCAGCATAATTCACGGCATGTTCTCACCCAGAATCAAGTCCCCCTGTGGTACGCATCGCCCTCTTCATTGTCCTGCATCACCCACCAGGTGCACCCAGTTCCTTGAGCAAAAGCAATCCCGTGGATGGGTTTGCCTTTACCTTTGCCTGGTGCAGGACTAAACCAGACCATTTTTCCCAATATATTCCTCATGCGCACCACAGGGAATTTATCCCCATCTGCAGCACGTGGAGGTTTTGACTGAGCCAGGCCAGCTCGGCTAGCAAGATCCTCTTGTGTTGACTAGCCAGGTGGCCTTTGCTAGATGCATGTCCCAGTCTGTGAAGGTCCCACCTCCCAGTGCTTTCAATGTGGTTTTTAACAGTCCATTGTAGCGCTCCATCTTCCCAGAGGCTGGTGCGTGGTAGGGGATATGGAAGACCCACTCGATGCCGTGTTCTTCTGCCCAGGCAGTTATGAAGTTGTTTCGGCAGTGGGTCCCGATGTCTGACTCAATTCTCTCTGGGGTGCCGTGTCGCCACAGGACTTGGGTCTCAAGGCCCAGGATGGTGTTCCGGGCGGTGGCGTGGGGCACTGGGTAAGCTTCCAGCCATCCATTGTGAGCATCCATTCCAGCTTCCACCATTGTGAGCACGTGGCGCTTCCTGTGGCAGGTCTGTGGCAGTGTGATGGAGTCGATCTGCCAGGCCTCTCCATATCTATATTTCAGCCATCGCTCTCCATTCTGCTGGGGCTTCACCCGCTTGGCATGTTTGATTGCAGCACACGTCTCGCATCCGTGGATGATCTCTGCAATGGTGTCAATGGTGTCACCCCTCGATCTCGAGCCCACCTGTATGTTGCATCTCTACCTTGTGGCCCAAGGTCCTGAAGGATCAAGACTGGGGGCAATTCTCTTAATGACCTGAATGATGGGAATAACTGCACCTTCACCAGCTCTGCACATAGGAAGAACAGCCAATTATCTGGAGGGCAGAGCTGCTATTCAGAGTGATCTTCACAAGCTGGAGTAATGGGCTGACAGGGAACTCATGACATCTAGTAAAGACATCTGGGATGAAATAACGCCATGCAGCAGTACAGGTTGCATGGGGGCTAACTGGGGAGAAAGCACATTTGCAGAAAGTACCTGGGGCTCCTTTTAGAAAACAAACTGAACATGACTCAGCAGTGTGCCCTTACAGCTGAGGCAGCCAACTGCATCCTGGGCTGTATTAGCAGGAGTGCAGTCAGCTGGTTTAGGGAAATGATTCTTATTCTTTTGTAAGAGAGTACTGCATCCAGTCCTGTGATTCCCAGTACTAGAAAGACATTGGCATACCAGAGCAGTTCTAGCAGAGGAGCCTCAAAATAGTTAGTGGTCCAGAGCACAGGACATACGAGGAGAAGCTGAGAGAACTGGGTTTGCTCAGCTTGGAAGAGAGAAACCTAAGGGGAGATCTTAATGCTGGCTTCAACTACGTATTGGGAAGGAGTGGAAAAGTAGGAGCCAACTCTTCTCAGAGCTGCACAGTAGTAGTTCAAGAGGCAAATGACACAAGCTGTGACATGGGAAGTTCCAGTCAGGTGTAAAGAAAAAGATTCTCACTGTTGAGACTGGTCAAACACTGACAGCTTGCCCAGAGAGGTTGTGGAATCTCCATCCCTGGAGATACTCAACAATCACCTGGACATGGCCTTAATAGCCTGATCTAAGTGGACCTGCTTTCAGCAGGGGACTGGACTATGTAGTCCCCAGATATCCACTTGAACCTATATTATTGTAGGGTTACACAATTCTGTATTTGTTGATTATTAGATGCATGGAAAAAAGTGAAAAATAGTTGTTATATCCTGTTCTGAATTAGAACTATTCAATGAAATGATCTACTGTCTAATGAAAAAGTAGCTTCTGCTATCCTGCCAGAATGTTGGGATTTTTAAACTTATTGGTTCTTACAGTGAAGTTAGGTTATCTTTGTATTTGAGAATGTTATTTATGAACTAAAATCAGATTCTTGATCTTAATTTCTGAAGTACTGAAAAAAAAACCCTATTTATTTATTTATTATTATTTAATATCCTTCTCAGGTTGTGTTCTCAGACTGAATTACATCAATAACAAGACTAAAAGCTCTTAAACCATCACAGATGTCAAGGTAACAGGTATCTGCCATTCTTAACTTAGATAAACCTTTGGGTGGGATGAGAGACTTCATCGCTGTGTTCCTCAGATTTTTGCTGGTGGCAGAACAAAATATATGTTTGGAATTGAGATTCTGTTCTAAGCATGCCACTCTCCTCTGCTTTGACATGTTTTGTTTTGTTTTGTTTTTTTATCTGAAGTTCTCTAAATAAGAAATCTAGCTGGCAGACACTTGAAATAGACATTTTTTCGACTAAATACAAAGAAGTTAACAAATTTATAAGCATCAGAAAATGGATTACTGAAATGGGAAGTTTTAGACAACAAATAATTAACAGTGCTACCACCTACACTTGTAATACCATGCCTTCCTCAATTTTTCTCAAGATATTCCATGTTACCTCACTGCTCAGAGGATAAAGAATACTTTAGGGTTTCAATCTTACTCCACTGAAACCATTTGATTAAATGAATGGTAAGAGCCATTCATCAAGAACGTAAGATGTCTACTATAACACTTCTTGGAAAATAGTTGGTAAGAGTCCAATATTTATAAGACTCAGTGAAATTTTTGGAGATTCAATTGTACAACAGACAAGGCCAAAACAGAGAAGGACTGGAAGGCCTAAAGAAATATCAGCAATGTTTAGTAGACGTTTTTTCTCAACTGAACCTGATAAAGGGTTTCTTCTGTTTCAAAGTGCAGTATACTATACAGTACTATTTACAACACTCTGAACAACTTGTTCCGAAGACTCAGGAAACTAGTATTCAGTTTATCAGGAAGCTTTATTAACCAGCTAGTAAATGGCATAGTACTTCAGACTTATAACACACATAATTTTGTAGCATACTACCATATCCATAGCCGTGAACAATAAACTAACATATTAAAGCCCAAATGTTAATATCCTAGTGATTATAGTATGTAGAGCCTGATCCAAATTTTAGTGGATGTAATTTCATTGATTGTCACAGGCACGGATCTTGCACCACAGCAATGGTCAGAAGAGTTCATGATTCATTTGGCCAAATATTATTCTTTCTGATGCCTCTAAATAGCTGACCAGTTAGCGTGAACAAAAATATCTGAGAAAGGAAAAAGCGTGAGTTAAAAACAACAAAAAATATTGATACTCACTTATGACTGAGTCAATCTGTCTGCTAACCTGGCTCCTATGAATGACAATGAAGAAGGATATAAAGGAGAATGATCAGAACATGTGCCTGAAGGTACAAGCTGAATTTTCTGCTCTGGTATACTCTGCTGTGAAGTCCAGCAAGTCACTTGGGCCCACATCCACAGAAGTATCTTGAAATCTATTTCAAGTGGCACATAATTCAGTTAACTGTTAAGTGTTTCAGAGCCCCATGAATCCAAATACAGCTGGAGTCGATGATCTTAAAGATCTTTTCTAACCTAAACGATTCTATGATTCTTGGTCTTAACCTCTTGAATGGGGATAACAGTTCTCTCCCATCTGACAAGAAGGTGTCAATGATAGTAGTACATGGAAGATCATGAGACACTCATGTACAAGAAACATTTTCATTACTGAACTGGCCCACTGCATAGCTGGAATGGTTTTACTACATAACTCTATGGGAAGCTACTACATATCAAAGAGGTAAAATAGGTCATACATTTAATTATGTAAAAATGAACTAATCTCATTTTCAATCTCACAATTTTACATATTATCAAAAATCCTTCTGTCTGATACCTTCAGGGTATCTGTAGAGTGAGCAATCAATTATTGTTGTCATTATTTATGTGATTTTGATATTGAAAGCTTTATTCCTTTTTACACAATAAAATTTTCACATAAATATGTGGGGGGAGGGGTTTAATGATTTTGTATTGTTTGATTTAGTATATTTATGGACTAGGTTCTGTGCAAGCAGAGGAAAAATAGGTCTTTTGCTCCACAGATTTAACTTGCAATGCTGTTACCTTTCACAAGTCAGGTCAAACATTTAATTCAACAAACTTTGGACACCAACATCTATGATGGTACGTGAATATATGGGAGTTCGTTGGTAAACAGTGCTTGATCTTACTTCTAACTAAAACTGAAATAAACTGAACTGAAATAAAACTGAACTAAAATTTCAGAGCATGTCAAAGCCAAATGGCACTGAATTGATTTTTACTGCAGCAGAGTATCAATATTTTGTGTTATTTTGCTTAAAGGTATTCTTACCTGTGTAATTAGCAGGCTAGTAGTAATTGCAGTTAACATTGTTTTTGAAGCATGTATTGAAATATTCTTCACATCCCTAAGCAAGTACACATGAACAATTTCAAGACAAATCACTGCAACTTTTGAAATCATATTGCATCTTTATAAGAACATACTTTCTGCATATTATGAATGGTTCTGATATTTACTTGCCAGAAAGCAAATACATTAATGTGTACTGTGAAGAGTTAGCTATAACATCTTTTAAATTACCTGAATTAAACAAATTTTTCTTAAGTAAATCTGATATTTTTGTATGGAAATGTTCCAGAGTTTGTGACTTAACCAAAAGGCAATTTGCTTTTGTGTGAGTATATCTGAAATATTACCTTGCAAGTAAATGCTTGAAAGAATATTTTCAAGTTTTCACTGATTCTCATGCATTGTGTATCCTAAAATGGATGTGCATATTTTCCAGTTTACTCTCTATGCTTATTATATTGTTTTTAAAAATAAATTATAAATTATTACATAGATTAAAATAGCTATAAATACAATAAAACATATTTTAAAATGCTTTCTGTAATTTGAAGTGATCTTTTAATAATGACAAGGGTTTGTAGAAACAGGGAACAATTCCAAACTGATGAGCAAAGGAAGACAACACCAGCTGTCATTCAACAACATCCTTTCAATTTGCTGTCCTGCATTGTCGAGAAACAACCTTTGCCTATTGAATTTTTGTTCTCATTAGACAGTTCTTTAATACTGAAGAAGACAATGTTCCAAAGAAGACAATAATATGTATCACTTTGTCCCAGCTCAAGTGATGATATCTGATGGTCCTATGCAAACTGGTCCCTTGATATTAAGGTATGTAAATGCTACCATGAACTGGTCTCAAGATGTATTATAATGCCTTGCTCATTCCTCTTATCCTATAAAGTATTGGAGATGAGCTGGAAATAGATAATACAAACAAATGCTGACATTCTGAAAGTACTGAATAGTAATTACAGGGGAAAATGTACTGTATGCCTTTTATATATTGTCACTTTCCATTGTCATCATTGATTTGGACAGCATGGATTTCTGAATGCTAAGATGCTTACTACTTCTTAAACTGCTACTAAATGTCCCTGTGATATTGATCAGGCACAACTCCTGTTTTCTTGAAGTATTCTGAATTTAGAACTACCTACACTGACATCTAACGAGTGAAAACCAAGGCTTCAGAGAGCCCAAAGACAAAACAATAAATATTATTACTACTTCGGCATTTGTAAGCCAAGTATTGGTAGAAAACATGTTCTGTATATTTTTTTTTCATTTTATTCATTTAGCAGCAAAAGATAAATTCTTCAAGGAAAGTTTTTTTTATTTCTTACCAAAATGTATGTTGAACCCCTTGGGACATCACAAAACCATTTCTCCAGACTGGATTTTGTGCATGAACATGGGATCTGAGTACCTTTTTCCTTGGTTTTATTAATTTCCTACTGTGTGACATTGTATCTTCCACAGCATTCCATCTAGAATAAAAATCCTATAACTTGGTAACTCTAACACCTATAAAGACTGCCACACAGAGTAATTTTCACCCCAACAAGTGCTAGCTATCAGTTGATTAAATCAGCTAGAGAGTTTCCCTCTGTATTCAGTAGAGAAAGGTTTCTGCAGGAGATGATTCACCCTTGTGTGTGTACCATTTCCCATGATACGCACTGGATAGTACAGACTTAACAGCAATATGATCTTAAAATATACTTTTGAAAGGAACTTTCTTTTAGATTCTAAATTATTCTAGAACACATGTAAATAGAAAAAAATTACAAACCCAGATTAAAATAAAACGTTTTGACTATCACCCTTAATCTTCCAAAGTAATTTCAGTGTAGAAATTGTGTGTAAGCAATAAGCTATATTAAGGATGTGCTCACTGGGAAGTACAAAAAAAAGAAGAAAGAAAACAAAACATTATTCGAAACAACATAATTAATGTTGTTCCATAACAAATGCAGTTAAGGGGGATGAATTTTATAAAACATATTTAAAAAAACAAAAAACAAAAAACACAGAGACTCTGTTTTACTCTGATCTAGATACTTAAGTAAGGACCAGATATTTGAAAACTTGTAGTTATTCCATTGTCACTTCTAATGTCATATTTGCAAAAATTCTCTGCTCTTAGCAAAGAGAGACTTTAGAAAGTCTCTCTATTCGACCTTGTGTTTTAGCAGCAATTGACCTCTTGTGTACACATATCTCAAACTTAGAGCACAAAGTAGACACTGTGTCCTTTCCAAATGTATTATCACCTAGCTCTTCCCAATAACCTGTTTCAATACCGGTAACACAAAACCTAATCAAACCATCAAACAGCTTAGAGAATGGAATTCTTTTCATGTAGGAAATTCCAGCAGTTTTTCGTTCTGAATCAGGATGAAATTCCAGAAATGTTTGAATAGTTTTGTGGGATGAAAAGTCTGCCATATTTTAGCTCAGAAATACTAAATAAAAGCATTTCACTTTTGTGTTTTGAAGAGTCAATCCAAGATATACTGCTGCTAAATTTTGAAAAATTATATAACTTAGGCAAAACTGGCCTTTCTCTGTAAACACATTCAATTTCAACAGCTCTGTAAGTTCAGTTAAAGAAACCACCAGCTTTGAGCAGTACATTAAATATTACCAAGAATATATAAGCATATAATAGTTCTTCTCTAATACTAGTCAGAATCTTAGGCTTTTTATTTTTTCCATGGTAGATGCCAATGATATTGTAAAGAGCTGAAAGGATGTAACACAAGACTTTGGGATGGCAGTGTTCCATTCAAAAGTTCACCTTGACACATTTGATATTTTATGTGGCTTAGATACCAAACGGAAAATATCCACAGGATTCTGAGATCTGCCACATTAAGAAACTATTTAGAAATTATCAGCAGTCTCACATAATTTATTTATATACCTCTTGTTTCTTCACAAGTATCAGCACCAATATTGCTATCTAGATGACAAACACCAGGATTTGAAAATTCTTATACTGAAAAAAAACACCAAATTAGGTATAAACATAATATTGAACAAGTGAGCAATGAAATGAAAAATTCCACAAGCTCATATATAATCTGTCATGATTATTATTTAGAGTCAATCCAACAAAAGTAAGAAATAGTTTTTCCTGGAAACCCTCAGAAAGTGACATCATAGTCTAAGAGGCTGGCTTTGGGCAAAGTACAACTTTCTGGGCTTAAAGACAAAGCCATAACTTTCTTGGAAGTGAAGAACAAAAGCTGTTGTTAAATAGCTGTGCTCCACTGCAGAAAACTCTTATTTCATTATTTCCTGTTTGAATTATCATGGTACCTAAGTCTCACACCTTGTCAAGGATTCATTTGAGCTGTAAGATGCACAAGCGAAAGAAAAAGACCAAATTTTCATTCACAGTATCTAGATATTGTGATACTAGATACTTCCATGGAAGTCAGAAATAAGACACTTCTTTCTCTTTCATCATCTAGTAAATTGTGAGGCAAACACTACATGCCTAGGGCAGTAGCAGGAAGGAAGAAGAAACAAGATTCATGGTTATAGCACCTGGGCTCCTCTCACAGCTCTGCCAACTGACATTTGTAATGCTTAACAAATGAATCAGTAGAGCAGTTTGGTGCTTCAGCCTTCACATAGTCTAAAACAGATTGCTCAAAAAGGGCAATAAACACAAGACAAAGGAAAAACAAATAAACAAAAGACAGGAAAAAATGTAATCAAGGTGCTCATAAGAATGTATAGTTACAGTGTAATTTTTCAGAAATCAAAGTGGTGTTCTCTTAAAAAGCAGGAATTGTATATAAATATGGAGTATTCAGGTAGGTCTACACAGGTAACAGCTTTTTAATCATACTCTTGGTTTCAGTATTGTAGTCATACTGTAGCTACCTGTGCCTTCAACCTGCAATATTTTGGGGCAGGCTTTTCTTTAATTCTTCAGCACATACTAAGCATGTGAACAGACACTGAGAGACAGTCACTCTGCATAATTTCAATACTAAATTAATTTTAAAACCGCTAAGTTAATAAATACAGTGGCTAAATGCTGCATCAAATTGTGTTTAGCCATTGAAAACATTCATGCAGTGATATGGAAGGAGCTTCAGTTTTGTTCAATTTCATTTGAGCCAGAACTTTATCTAAAATTATCAGCAGATTTGTTAAGCACTGTGTGTGGAAATTACAACATCAAGGCAGGATCACAGTTTTCATGTACACAAAACTTCCTTTCCTTGTACGAGAAAGTTGGAGTCTGATTTACACTTACTGTAACTAGTAGACATTTGATTTCCATAACACTTCCAAGGAATCCACCAACTGATGAAAAGGTAATAACAGATCCAATTCCAAGTAATATACAAGAAATATATGCCAATAGCTGTTTCTCACTTGAAGAAACTGTAACACAGCACATAGTCGCTTCTCTTTTTTGAAACGTCCACATACAAAACCTATTCCAGAAAAACAAATCTTTGTAATGCCATTACTGAAAGGATGGAAATAGTGGAATGATAAATGGTATTATTACTACTTATGCTATTTACAGTCACAGAAGGAAAAAATATATTTTCATAAATTCAGATAATGGTAACAACATGTGAGATGTAAACAGAACATACTCATTTGAACAATGTGAACCATTCACAGTGAAATCAGAGAACAATTACAAGTGTACAGATTTTTTTGTTTGCCAAAAATTAGTAGCACATGGACAAATCCTGCATGGACACAGATATAGTTCTCATTAAATCCAAACTCACATTCAATGCTATCCTCCCTCTTTGTGACTGGTCACTTTCTCCTTTCCACTTCAACCATCTTTGCATAGATATGGAAAGTAGCAGGGGTTTTCATTACTTCCATCTTAAATACTTCATCCCAGAATTATGGTATTGGATAACATAGCCAAGGCAGACAGCTCTTTAATAGCACAGCTGTTGTTATGTGACCCAAAACTTAATTCTTTGTGAATCATTTTGACAGACACTCTGGGAAAAATGAATATCTATATGGAGAGGTCCAAGCTCCAACTTGTGTTCGTCCCACCCAAATTATCCTAAAGGATCTATTAATCTTGTCAAATGCAGACCAAATGCAGTCTGGTGAATTATATAAAGAGAAGATCAGTAGAGCTGATTTGTATTTCACTGATTCATCTATAAACTGTACAGCAAGATTTAAAAAAAAAAAAAGAAAAGCATAAATTATAATTATATATAAGTTTTAGATATACTGATATATATTTTCCCCTATTTTGATAATCATACTGTCTAATGATGGAAAATATACACAATAGAAAAAATAACCTAAACATTTCAATCCAATACTGCCACCTTGTGAAAAAGAAATTCTATCACTGTTTCTGATTTATCCTGTGATCATTTGAAACAAAAGAAAAATTCTATTTATACTCACATAACACACTGAATAAATTGTTTCTGTCAAATAAAAGGCACAGACCAAATGCCAAAAGCATAAGACCCAGGGCGTGGAAAAAAAGGACGATTACTGCTTTAATTCAAAACATTTTAAAAAAATTAATTTGAAGCTGTTAAGTAAGAAAAAAGAAAACAGATTTTTTATCAAGAAAATTCCATTGAAGACATGTAAGTAGTATTTCTGTATTATAATTTTATCTCTTGTTTTCAGTTTCGTATCACAGCTGAAAATATAATCATAGATTCAGTTCAACATGAAACAAATATAACTAAGCCTATAATTACAACGGGATTTATTTTCTTCAGATAATGTTTTATAAATTTAAACAGTCACCTGATACATTGAACAAAAAAATAGTAGCAACAGTCAAAGCATCAAGATGGTGTCTGGTCTCAATTACCTCTAATGTTATATTGTACTCGTATTATTTTTAGCTTTTTTTTCTTAACTACTAAAGACATTTGGAGGCAGCATGTATGTATGAAGATTTGTATTGCAGAGATGGAAAGAGTTACCTAGCCTGGCATGCACCTGTCCTTATATTCTTCAGTACACTTAGTTTCCTAATTATTAAGGATACCAGCTGAAATGAAGAGGGAGAACCATAGTAAAGATATAAGCCCTCTTTTGTGGGCTCCTATGGGCTTTGTGGGCGCTACACTACCAAATTTTGTTGTCCTCCTCCTCCTGTGTCTACACAACCTGATTCAATTTTTGTTGAAAACAGCAGATACAGCCTAAAGATTTCAGTGCAATCCAGCACACAGTTCTAACAAAGCCATGAGAGCTGTCAAACAGTGCTACCAACTGTCTTGTACTAAACTCTGGAGTACACTTTACACTTTTGAAGAGAATCTCCCAGTCACCCTCACTTACTTTTTTCCTGGGTTTTTTTGGGGTTTTTTTGTGGATTGTAACAGGATGTGAAAAGTTGAATTCCTTTCAAATGAAACTAAATCAAGAAATGCACTTCATCTGTCATCAATAGCAAGGGGGTGCTTGGTCAGTGGAAGGGCAAGCAAAGATCCTGCCCATAGCAATTGCCCCTGAAAAACATATAAAGTGTGCCTTAGAACCTGAGTAACAACTGCATCGCCCTTGCAAATGCTTGCAAATGTCAGCAGGACCACAGTGAAGTCACATGGGCATCCACATTTTGAGTATAGTTTAGCATATTTCAGCGAGAAAGACCCCTAAGACTGTAAACTCTCTGATGCAGGGCTTCTTTTTTTATATATCATTCTTATTATTATCATTATTGGATACTGCATCTTCTGGCCGTCAAGATTTTTTGCACAGAGAGTGAAACACATTTCTCCTCACCTCGTGCTCTCTTTCACCTGTCTTGCCTCTTCTGTAAACATACTCTGGCATTTTGGTCTGCCTGGTTTTGTGGTAGAAGCTGGAAGAGCTGAAGAACAGCAGTGTTAGAAGACAGTTTCTGTAACAGCAGCCGGCTGCAGCTGTCCTACACTTCTCATGTGTAAAGCAGGCAGGCGCACAAACATGCACAGATGTGGGAACATTACCAGCATAGGCATACTCTTTGGAAAGTATTTTCTAATGCAAAGGGATTTGTTTGAAAGGAATTGTTCTTGACTTCTGTCAGAATTACTCCAGATTGATTAGAATACAAAGTTATGTCTTCTGTTATTTGTAAAACAGTAAAAAAAATTACAAAAAATCTGTGTTAACAATTATTTTCCATACAAAACATATGCTACGTATGTCTCAAACCTGTTGATTAGAAGAAAAGATTCAGCAAGCACAAACTTTGCCTGCCCTGTCAAGATCATCATTGCCTGGATTATAAAACTTCTGTTGCTGAATCACAGAACGAATAAAGCTACAATCTTCTCAGACTAGCTCTGCAGTGGATTTGGATCAATAATGCACCATGTAAACCTATGGTAAACTGTATTAGACAACTGATTTTGCACTTTCCCTGAAGAAGATCCACTACTTTTAAGAGTAATTAAACTTTATCAGAATTTTCAAAACCAGAATGTATTAAAACATTGGTGCGATGAATTGTTTTACTAAAAATCCCTGAACAGTTACATATTTCACTTGAAAACTGGCATCTGTAATAGTTGTTGTAATAACCATGCAGTTTCAATGTTTTATTTTGAGCTATTTTAATAATAATGATATTAATATTTTAGTTTATCTTATTTGAAAAATGGAAGTATTATATTGTTACTTCACAAGAAAATCCTTACCAGCTCTGAGTATTTCTGTCCTACCTTAAAGAGCAGTCTCATAATTACGTTTCTTCCTGAAGTCCGGCTTAACCACATCCTTAAAACAGAGCAGCTTTCTTCTGTTGATCTGCCCTGACTTCCTGGTTACAGGCAACAGGCCCACAGAAACATCTTTTTTATTTTGACACGGTGCTTGTGGTCTTAAGTCACCATGATCACAGCGTAACTTGCATTACAAAACAAGTACTCATTCAACTCAGTGCTTGAAGACCACATTCACTGTTCACTGGATACGTGATTCTGTAAAGTATGAGACATGGCAGGCTGGATTTCAAATGGATGAGTTTCCATTGTTGGATGATTTAAATGTCTTATCCATAACACTGGTGAGAATATGGTAAATGGTTGCCCTTAAACCCACTATTTTGTGGTTAACATCCATAAGCCTTTCAGAACGGTACTCAGTTTATTTTAGAGAAGGTAGATGGAAAAAAAACCCTACTATCCTTGGCAGATCCTTCCCATTGCTCACAAAAGTGTTCATTTTCTAGGTAAAACCTGTCTTTACCTTTCAGGTCTTATTTTTCCGTTATACCTGTCTTTGCACCTTGGTATTCCTCATCAGACTTCAGGGACAGATGCATTCCCTATAAATACAGCTACATATTTAAAATTATATTGTCTATACACTCCCTGCCCTAGATCATTTTTGCTAGACTGAATTGTGTGGAGTCTATAATTCTCTGACTGGACATTTTTCTCCAGCTCTCAGATAATTTGTGTGTGCCTTTCTCAGATATTTTTTTTAACTATTATTTTTTGTTTCCTGCCCTCAGCACAGGCAACAGAGTGTGCTGAGCCGCAGGTCCCCCTGCACCGCTCAGGCCTGCCCAGGCTACCCAGCCCCAGGCCCAGCCTCCCCGTGGCAGGCAGCTGGCAGCAGGCTACCACAGCCCCCAAACGCCAGCAGACCACCGGCCTGTCCAAGGCACAACGGGGTCCCAGTGCGTGAACGCAGAAGGGGTGTCTGGCGGGTTTTTTTTCTTCATGCCTCGAGTTCTCCTGGCAAACAAGGAGCAAAACCATGGTATTTCAATCCACCTTTACCACACCTTGTCTTTGGTCTGCTTTTATTTTTTTTTTTTCCCTATTAATTGATGACTCCAATTTATTCTGAACGCTAAATTCCAGTCCATTACTTAAAATAAAATTTTAAAACCACAGAAAAAAAAGGGCTGCGAGGTTCTTTTGTCTCACGCCTTCAGAGGGGCGCCGTCACCCGCCCACCGGCACGAGGACCCGCTGCTGGCGGAGTTTGGATCCTCCCGCTTGCCTTCCGAGTCGCTGTTACCCGTTGCCGTGGGGACGCTCCCGGTTTCGCAGCGCGCTGGCCGGGCTCTCGTTGTCCCCGCGCAGGGCCTGACCGGGGGCGGTTGGGGACTGCGGAATTTCAGGGCGGAGAGGCAGTCAGTCTCCAGAGACGGCCAGGAAGGCGGGAGCTTCGGTAGGAGCTCGGCCGAACGGCAAGTGAGTAGCTACACGGAGTAGATGGCGGAGAGCGGCGGGCTCGGGGTGCCGTGAGGCGCGGACTACAGCTCCCAGCATGCAAAGGGGCGGCTCCGCCGCGGGGCCTTCTGGGAGATGTAGTTTCTTTCCACGAAAACTGGTTCGCACCTTCACGGCTGAGATGCTGCTCGTTGCCTCTGGTGGAGCGGGTCTAGGATGCCTCCCCTGTCCCCTAATTGGGGCTAGGGGTGAGGAGAGGGGGGCAGATTACGGCG